GGGTTTCCAGGAGTCCTGGTGTGACACTATGGGATAATGCACTGGACTGTAAAGTCAGTTTGAACCACAAGGTTGGCAGTTCAAACTCATCAGCTACTCCTCAGAAACTTTATACAGGGTTGCTATGGGTTAGAACTGACTCGTTAGCACTTAACAACAACAACAAAAATAGAGTTTCCAAGGAGTGGACTTGAACCACTGACCTTGTATTTCAAACCAACCTTTCAATGCAGTATAAAGAAGTCTATACACTATGAGTTTACACATAGAATCTACATAACCCAATATTGGGGGGGGGGGGATGGTCATAAAACTCCAGCCAAATAGCTGCTTTTAAGAGGACACCAACAACTTTTAACATAAAATTTAGAAAGATTCCTGGTGTTTAACTTAATAAAACACATTTGAAATAACTATTCAGTTAAGTTGGACAAGTACACTCCAAGCAGCTACTATGGAAATATCAAGGTTGCTGAAATCATATTGTGAAATATAAATAGCATGAACTTTGTAACTGCTTACAAGAGAAAGACTTTGATGAATTCATAATTCTGTGAGGAAAAGTCCAGAGAAATAACCTTAATTCAGCATATTGTGTTTCCACAAATTGACTTTCCAGGATTTAGTTTCTCCTGAAGTGACTCCTCATTCTAATCACTTCTAACCAAGAGGTCAGCAGTTGAAACCCACCAGTCACTCCATTGAAGAAAGATGAAGCTGTCTGCTCCTGAAAGGATTTACAGTTTTTGAAACTTTTCACAGGGTCACTAGGAGTCCTGGTGTAGCACTGTAGGATATGCACTGGACCGCAAAGTCAGTTTGAACTGCAAGGTAGGTGATTCAAATTCATCAGTCACTTCTTGGAAACCCTATACAGGGTCGCTATGAGTCAAAACCAACTCTATGGCACTTAACAACAACAGAGAGACTCCTTGTGTGGCACTGTAGGATCAGCATTGGAATGGGACCCACAAGGTCAGTGGTTCAAACCCACCAGCTGCTCCCCAGAAACCCAGGGTCTCTATGAGTCAGAACTGATTCAATGGCATTTAAGAAAACAGAGATCAGTAGGGCCTTGGGTAGCTGAAGTACTAGATCAGAACTAATATTTAAGTTCTTTGATTTCACTACATTTTATTTGGTTTCATTCTATTAATTGAATTTAAATAAATTACAAATGTATTCATTAAGCCTATGCCTTATGTGCTTTTTCCTCTGTAGGGATTTGGATGCAGAAAGACGAAACCTCCAAGAGCTTTGAGGCAAGGACAGGAATGTGTTGTACAGAAATACCTCAAGGCAAGTATCACTCATTCATTTACTCATTCACTCATTGAGCAGTTTGTTCAATGTTTCCATGTTTTTGGAACTGTTCTAGACACTGGACTGGAGTACATCTGTGAAGGAAACACTAATCATGTCACGGAAGCAGGAGAGGGAGAGAAACAATGGATGGGGGAGCCTTGTCCTTGCAAGCTGCACTCATCTTCAAAGTCAGCAGTATCTTCAAATCTCCATTTCTGTCTTCACATTGCCTTTTTGTTTTATAAAGACCTTTGGGATAACTTGTTCTCTCTCAAATAATCCAGGATAATCTCCCCATACCAAGATTCGTAATATAATCACACCTGAAAAACCCATTTTGCCTTTGTTGTTGTTGTTGTTATGTGCTGTCTTTCAGTTGCAACTCATAGTAACCCTGTATTCAGTTTCTGGGGAGCTGCTGGAGGGTTTGAACCTATGACCTTGTAGTTAACAGTCCAGTGCTTATCCTACAACACCACACTCTTTTTAGGGGAGATTATTCAGCCTCCTACAGTCCCCATGTGACTGTCATCAGTTCTGTCACACTTGGATGTCACTTCCCTATCCCTATGTTACTTATACAATCTTTTGCTTTTCCCTTCCCAACCCAAACTAGAATAAAGTTAACTATGTTTCTAGTAGTATCTGCTCTCCTTGGGATGAAGGTGGATGGCAGGGAAGAGGACAGAAGAAAAGGCAGTTTAGAGATGTCCTCTGAAGGAAGACAAGAGAATTCAACTTTGCTCTCCAGCTGTCTGCCTATATGTGGTACCCCATGTGTTCCAGTAAACAACCCCAGACTAACCACCTTGCCTGGTTCCTGAGGCTCCATGTTGCCTGGGTTAAGAGAGAAGTCTCCTCCCTATGGATTGTTCTAATCAGAGTTCAGCATTTCTCACTCTAGAGTCCATCTTTACTTGTGCTAGAGAATTTACAGTTTACTCTGGCACAAGATCCTTAGGTGGATCCAGCCATTATGACACAGAAATGTTTGAGAAGTTTGCACATGCCACCAGACACCTGCCAGCATTTTCTGGCACAGAAAAATATGCAGGTTCCTCAGGAGGCTCAAAGAGTGGTTGGCTGCTCAGCAGTTTTCTCAGGTGAACAGATCGCTCTGGCTGGTAAGAGACAATCAGAACCCAGCTAGAAGCCCCAATTTAGCAGTCACCCATAGCTTATCCTGCTGTCCCATCCACCCTACTTATTGGAGGCAAGGTTCCATTAACCCTGACACACTTGGAGTCCTGGTGTGGCACTGTGGTTTAATGCTCTGGACTACAAAGTCTGTTTGAACCACAAGGTCAGCTGTTCAAGCTCACCAGCCACTCCTCAGAAACCCTATGCAGAGTCGCTATGGTCAGAACTGACTCAACAGCACTTAACAGCAACAATAACAACCTGGTGATTACCTGGGTGCTGGTCCACCTGTGCCTGGGCACTATGCAAATCTCCAAGGTTCCATGGACTGGTTCCAAATCTGCAAACTTCCAATAGTGATTCCACTAATCTCTCAATGCTGGGGTCCTGACTTCTCCTACTGACCCGAGGTATAGTTTCCTCCCTCCAAACCCACCATACACCATTTCCAGCCCAAGGCACTCACTGTCATAAACAGACCTCCCTGGTGCCATCTGCCTGCTATGTGAGATCATGTTCTGCTTCCTAGAAAAGGCTTCTCCCCGAGCTTTGTTTATAACCAGGACACCCCTTCCAGTTCCCCACCTTCCCTACCCACCACAGCTTTCAGTTCCATTCAGCTCTGCTCTTCCTTCAGAGGGGGCTTGGGAGGAGGGTGGCTGGTCACTCAGTGCTTGATCTGAGGGTTGGAAAAGGAGCTTCCTGCACAGGCGGTTCAGCAAGTTCCATTGCATCTGATAGTGCAAAAGGGCTCAGGCTGGCCCAGGCTCAGGAAGCATAGGACAATGGTGGCCAGAATCCGGGAGGAGAGCCAAGGACACATGTTCTAACCACAGGATTGCAAGGGTGTGGTGAAAGTGACCAAGAAATGACCCTACTGGATCCTGAAAATGGGCAGAGCCCAGACTGAGTTCACACTGAGTGCATCACCTCCACAAAAGACAACCACTGAGGGCTATACTTGCACAGACCCAGGTGTACACCCCACATCGGACCTACACACAGGTGCACACAAATGCTCAAGATCACAGGATGCAGCCAGGAGTGTTTGAGCGCAGGACTGAGGGAACTGGAATCCATCAGGGGTGTCTGTGCCATCCCCCATCCTCTCCTCCTAGAAAGTGCCTCCCCCTCCCCTTCTGGCACCAGAATTTATTGCTCTTTTCCCATCTAATCCTGCTTTCAGGGAAAGTTTCAGCACGAATGATGGAGTTTTAGTCAAAAGAGGCCAGAGTCAGAGGTCTTCAGATCAAGCCCTCCAAATGCGAGTCTTAGGAAGTACCTCCACTGACACTGAAATGGGAGTATGTCCACTTGGCTTGCTATCAGGCCTATTGACATCCAAACAGATACAGGAAGTGGATGTGTTTTAAGTTCAGGTGACTTTGGGTTCAATTCCCGGGTGATTTCCATTGAACCCTTATCTTCTTTTGTATAGAAAAGATCTATCCAGATGCTAAGATACAGAAGTGAGAGGTGTGGAACATAGAAACAGGAGGCATACCTGCCTGGAGTGGGTGGGAGGTCTGTGCTTTTGAAGAACTTTGCAGGAGTGAATAGGTGAGCTTTCTCTGAGCAAGGGAAACATCAGGGACAGGAGGGGGGTGTCCAGATGGCACAATCCCAGGGCAGCTGAGAGACATCCCTGAGGCCCAGGGTTGGGAATTCCCCCTCTCCAGTCTTTGCCACCTGCACCTGACATCCTCCACTGCCCTCTCTTCTGCATCTGTTTAGATCCTAGACTAGAGCCCACTAGTGACTGGAGACCTTGGACCCTACATCTGTGTGTGCCCCAGTCTTTGGGCATTGCTACAGAACTGCTAAGAAAAGCAACTAATTTAACATGTGGATCCATCCTGACACACTCTCCAATTTTTTTCTTCCTCTGACAAACCCCATCCATGTATCAAGGCCCAATTCAAATATCATCTTTAATCAGAAGTTCCCTTTCCCCAACACTACTCTGCCAGAGACCCATCTCAGAGAAGCAGACAGCAAACAGGGAAAACTATATTCTATATTATACTTGACTGTAGTTATGGTTACAATAGAGTATGTTTAGAATTACTATTGCTCTGTATACTGTTGTTTTATGCACTTTCTGCATATCTGTTGCATTTTAAACATGCACAACAAAATTAAACAAATAAAAATATGATCAAGGCCCTGAAGCTATCCCTCTATCATGTGTGGTGGGGTAAGTGATGTGCCTGATCTGTACCAGGAATCCCGAGACAAAGCTTCCATTGGAACCATTTACATTTAAGACTGGATGTAAAAAGTAAAGTACATTGTAACCGTATTGCCAATTAGAGGACAAATAAAATTTTAAAAAGAAAATAAGTGTTCAGTAAATGTGTGCTGAATGAATAAGTGATATGATGTCTTAGTTATAGACTAACAGGCCTACCTAGCACTGTTCTCTGTGCTGGTCCCACATTCCTAACTGACATATCTCCCCAGGGCAGGAAGCCACAGGGACTCCTAGTCTAGTCTAGGGAAGACAATAACTAAGGGACAAACCCCATCTTGAGACGATTGGAGATTGTCTTTTGCTAAAACTGCTTCCGGGACCCTGCACCCAGTGACTTCAGGTGGAGGTGGATGCCATTCTTGGAGCGTAGTATCAGTTGGAGCATCTTGATTGGTGGCTGTGAGGGATCCACGGAGAACTCAAAGCGTAGCAAGCAGAGGGCTGTGACCACCTTCATTTCATTCATGGCAAACTGCTGCCCAATGCAGTTCCTATAGTGAATACACCAAGGGTCCTTAGGTTCTGGGGTGTTAGAAAAAAACATACCTCCCCTCATAAATAGGGTGCAGATCTGATAAAATAAGTGCTTTTAATGGCCAATCAAAATTAATAACTAATTTTGTGTGGACAATTAGTTGACTAATTGATCTGAACTAAAACAACAGATCCTGGGAGTTTGGCAAGAGTCTCAAACTGAGGAGATTCACATTGAGTGTGCTGGCTTGGGAATCTTTGCTGTAACAACTTATTCAATCACTCACCACCCAAGAGAAAGACAAGAAATGATCACTGAATGAAGAAGGACCCTGGAGCTCTCCTGTGTTAGGATCACTCCACTCCCTTCCAGGGCTCTTTCATTCACAGAGTGTTCCAAATGATGCCCACACATAGCCATCAACTCCCCACACCCCCAATCCTAATAGCCAAGGTGCCTCTCCGTACCTGGGCCCTGCAGAGAAGGGAATGAAGGCATAGGGGTGACGTCCACTTGAATTCTCAGGGGAAAAACGCAAGGGGTCAAAGACCTGAAAACAAAGAACCTTACTTCAACACTGCCAGCTCCTAGAGAAGGATAACCTAGATACCCCACCTTATCTCTAGGACCAGGGATGGGGATACCTCAGGGTCAGGCCACACATTGCCATTCCGATGGAGGGCATAGATGTGCAGAGAGATCAGGCTGCCTGTGGGCAAAGCAGAATCCTGGTGACCACGGATCCTAGGGCAGCCAAGCCTACTTTCTCCTATGGGTAACCAATCCCTGTCTAAACACTGTCCATGACCAAGAGCTCACTGCTACACTCTGCTCATCAAAGTGTTTTTAGTCATCATCACACTCAATTCCTGAGCCCTGGTACCAGCCACATATAGACATGTGTGGAATGAAAAGCAGGAGGAATGAGCCTACGTCATTGAGAAGTAGGATGAGGAAAGATATTACACTTACTTGTTCTCTAATATCTGACACTTGGGGAAAGGATTACAGCTTTAACAGCTTCCCTTCCTTGGGTGCTAACTACAGGACCAAGTACTCTTTAAGAAGCTGCCATATGCAGTTGTACAGGTTGTACACTATGCAGGATAATAGTCTAAGTGGATGACACCTCTGAGGTTGTTCAGTGCACAGCCTACATGGCCAGTGACAGCCCTGACAAGCATTATTTCTAATCCTGACAAACAATCTTGTAAGGTCCATCCTTTCCTTATCCCCAATTAATAGATAAAGGATTTATCCACACAACCTAAAAGTTGTAGCACTAGGATTTGAAACCAGGGCTCTCTGATTCCAAAGCCTGAGCTCTTAGCACAAAGTACAAAGATTTGGTTCAATTCACAGAGGTATCAGAGGGCACCCCGAGGACTCTACCTCACCCTCAAATCTTCCAAAGTTCACCTTCAGGTAGAGAACGACCATCCACAAAGTTGACAGGCTTGTTGAGCTGCCGGTACACCTGGGGCACAGGCGGGTATAAGCGGAAGCTCTCCTTGATGCACATGGTCAGGTAGGTCATCTTATTCAGGTCATCCCTGTCAATGACACAGGCAGCCCATTCTAACCATAAGGAGATCCCAATGACACAATGGAATCCTGGGGCAAGGCAGATTCCCAGCACCAACATCTTCCCTCATCACCATATCCCTGGGGAAAAAAAAGGCACAGGGCTCCAGACCAGACATTGGGTAGCTACTCTGACCCAAGGCTACTAGCTCTGCTTTCCTGCATCCCCTCATCACCTTCACCACCATATGAGGAAAGCAAAGGAAAGTCATCAAAACAAGGTCATCCCTGTGTTTATTAGAGCCCCACAGGAAATCCCACAAGGGACAGTTCTTGGGGTTCTGCTTAATTTCCCTATCCATCTAGAGTGGCACCGAGCAGGGGCAAACAAATATTATTGAATGTAGCAATAGAGGTATAAACAATGATGAGTTCAAGTAAAAGATTTTGTCTCTTTTCCTTTAGCCACCAGGAAACTCAGAACCAAATGGAAGGTTCAACTATAATTCTTGCATAATACGACTACAATGCTCCAAACTCAAAATCTTTTCTTTTCCCCACTCCTGATTATTTGTGTTTTTATTTTATTGAATGTGTGGTGCTATAGGATAAAACCTAGATTGCTAACCAAAAGGTCGGTGTTTCAAACCCACTAATCACTGCTTTGCGTAGTGGTTACAAATCGGGCTGAGAACCGGAAGGTCAGCAGTTCGAAACTACCAGCTGCTCCATGGGAGAAAGATGAGGAGATCTGCTCCCGTAAAGATTTACAGCCTCGGAAACCCTATTCAGGGTCACTATGGGTCGAAACTGACTTGACACCAATCAACAACAACAACAACAATCACTGCTTGGAAACCCTATACATGGTCGCTATGAGTCTAACCAATTCAACAGTACATAACAATAATAATAAGCTACTTTAAGGAGCCTTGGTAGTGTTGTTGGTCAGGCATTGGGCTGCTAAACATAAGGTTGGCAGTTCAAATCCACTAGTTGCTCTGCAGGAGAAAGATGAAGCTGTTTGTTCCCATAAAGATTTACAGTCTCAAAAACTCAACACAAAGTCACTATGAGTTGGAATCAACTTGATGGCAATGGGACTTTAAGCTGCTTTAGGTGTCCCACCATTAACATACTTTGTTTCTAACCTAAGAGTTTTTGTTGTTGTTAGGTGCCACTGAGTCAGTACTAACTCATAGCAACCTTATACACAGTAGAATGAAACACTGCCTGATCCTGGGCCAGCCTCACTATTGTTGCCATGCTAGAGCCCATTGATGCTGCCACTTTGCCATCTCGCTGGAGGTCTTTCTCTTTATCTCTGACCCTACACCTTACCAAACATGATATCCTTCTCCAGCGACTCATCCCTCCTGACAATATGTCTGCAGTATGAGAGACGAAGTTTGACCATCTTGGCCTCCAAGGAACACTCTGGCTGTACTTCTTCCATCACAGATCTGTTTGGTTTTTTGGCAGCCCATGGTACTTTTAATATTCTCCTCCAACACCATAACTCAAAAGCATCAATTCTTCTATGGTTTTCCTTATTCACTGTCCAGCTTACATAAGCATATGAGGTCTTTGAAAATACCATGGCTTGGGTCAGGCACACCTTAGTTTTCAAGCTGACGTCTTTGTTCTTCAACACTTTAAAAAGGTCTTGTGCAGCAGATTTACCTAATGTAATACCTCGTCGTTTGATTTCTTGACTGCTCCTTCCATGAGTGTTGATAGTAGATCCAAGAAGAATGAAGTCCTTGACAACTTCAAGCTGATAAGAATGTTGTTTATTAGTCAAAGTTCTACTTTTCCCAGAGATAGCTCAGAAGAAAGGCCTGGAAATCTAATTCTAAGGATTCAGTCATAGAAACTGTTCTACTAGGACACACATGGGATCACCATAGTTGGATTCAACTCAACAGTAACTGGTTAAGCTCCTTTATTTGCTAGATGGAATGAAGTGAAAAAAAATCAGTAACAACTTTAAGCCCGGCCTTAGTGCTTTGCTCACTTCATTACCCTACCTTAAGTGCCTGGTTCCCTCCTCTTCTTCGAGTTTCATCCCTCCTCTGCCCTCAGGTGAGTCCCAAGTGATGCCTAGGATATGCCACTCCATCTGTAATTTTCTTTCACTTTTAGACTTTGTCTCTAAATGTTCTCCAAGAATAGCATCTTGTCAAAAATGTAGAGGACAATAAATGCTGGCAGGGATGTGGAGAGACTGGGACACTCCTGCATTGCTGGTGGGACTGCAAAATGGTCCAACCTCTCTGGAAAGCAATA